GCGTCCCCTTCCTCGCAAACGTTGAGTGTAAGGCCTTAGTCGAGTGTACCGAGTGCGACTGGCATGCCGAGTCCTGGATGGTTCTCTGGCTGGCTCGTACCTTACCACAGTTGTGCCAGCCGGGAGAAGAACCGGACAACCCGAATAAATGCGGGGCAGAACAGCGCGCCACAGTACTTCGGCGCTCCCAGCAGCTATTATAGTGTTTTTGTCACGACCCCTGAATGTGCGGATCCCCCTGCCAACTGACAAAACGGAGTCAAACGAGCAGTGTTTACAAAGTGTATGGGCTTCACTAGCATCCTCGTAATCAACACTACCCTTCCCCCCCCCCCCCCCCCCAAACTTTTAACAGTGGTTACGTCTTTTAAGTGTCGCTAGTTCGATTACGTTATCGTTTTCCGCAGGTGGTGGCGGGCTGGCAGGCGCGCTACGTAAGGGTTCTCACCTATCTGTCCAGTCTCGCACCCCACCACCTGCGCCCTTCTACGTACAAAAGAAATTAATATTGTTACTATTAGTATTATTATGAAGATGATGATGGTGATAATGGTCGTGCAAAGTGTTGCTCTAACGGCCGAGTCCCACTGTAGCGACAAACAGAAACAACCGACACCGACAAGTCGCAAGAACGTGCAGCAAGCACTCCAAGGTATCTTTGGTACCTCTGACCGCGGGAAGGTGGCGTCGGGGGGTCGCGGCGGCGCATCCTCATAGGAAAAGCTTTAATCGGGGAGACGGAGGGCGAGGTGCCCGAGGGAACGAGACTCGGGTACTCTGCGCGAGGGACCGCCAACGCTCGCGCCGCTGGTAATTTCTTGTTTATGTCGTAGCTAGTCCAGTGCAGGAGACACTACAACGAAATATCACTGGTGCCAGTCTGACGCCTCGGATAGGATGCTCAGTGTCCGCTTTGAAGGGTTAGACCGTTGCTGTCATTAACGGCGGTCGCGGGTGGTTCTCGCCAGTGGCTGGTCTGTAGAGATCATATGGCCGACGAGGGATTTAAGCTGATTGACTAGTTCCTCGATGAGACAGAGAGACAGAGAGAGAGGAAGAGAGAGAGAGAGGGCTGCAAATGTCTAAAGGGAGGAACGAGAGAAGGAATGGCGCTTGGCTTGAGAATTTGGAGGAGTCGAGACTGTCCTCCAAGTTGGGAGTTTGAATATCTCTAACAATGCAAATAAATCTGCATAGCTGAAGAAACGTAGCGAGTCGGCCCATCACTCGGCAACGTGCCTGTCACCAAGCCCCAGACGGTCGCGCTGAGGTTGTTCCTCCGTCATCACCGGGAGGAACAACCTAACTCACCTACCCTTAGATATGTATGTCAACTCCCCACAGTACTCCACGCGTGTTGTCCGAGCTTCACATCACAGCCCGTTTAGATAACGCGCCAATCACGCAGGTGCGTTTTCGCCCTCAAGCTGTTTGTTAAACAAAAGGAAAAGGGGGTGGGGGGAGGGGTTAAGTGCGAATAACACGTAAAATGGTTACGACTTCAAGAGTTTTTCATTCTTCTGAGTTAGCGCTGTTTGTGCTACAAACTGGTTGCCGGCATAAAAATAGTGTTCGACAAGGAGGGGAGTATTTCTATAACACTGCATGGCAGTTTGCTGAGGCACTTGTTACGTACAAAACGTCAGCGTCAGCTTGCAAACAAGAATTCGCTGGAAAATATTGAATTATATTGACAATATTGATCAGAGCTCGCTTAATTAGTGCTTTTAGAGTTCCAAGGAAGTGGCCACGTAACTAGGTTGTGGCGTCGTCAACTTCTACCGACAGCCGGTGTGACTCTTCAATCTTGAACAGTCGTGTATAATTATGAGGAGTATTCCGCAAATATGTGTTTACAAAGTAGATGAAGCGAGATGTTTTTGGCCTTTGCACCTGATGGCGGAACAATTGGTGTTTCAAAACTTGTTTTATTATAGTGTATTCCAACACGCTCATTCATGCTGTCCTTGATCCTCTTTGTATTCGGCAAGCGTCCTCCCTTCAAACGCATAAATTAACTATTCAAACGTATTTTTACCACCAGCATCAAATTTGTTTATGTAATTAACCCTCAATTAATTTTGTTGCCATCTATCTTGCCCGTACCAGTGTTTTCCAAGTTACGGGATGATAACTGCCTAATGTGTAATATCCATTTTTGTGCATCATTACAAAGGCATAACCTGTTCACGAGTACAAACAATACACAAGTGAATGAATGAATGTTTACACAGAAATTTTCCGCTTTCACAATAAATTAGTACCAGAATGAAAACAAAAATAAAACGTAGATATCAGCGCACAGTGCCGCACGAAGGCACCGTTTACCCCTGCTTATTCAGTATTGTTTTCAGTCAAGAAACTTCCGATGAAGTATCATCACGCAAATAAGTTTCTTTCCTTGTTTTATACCTGTTTATCGGGAAAGTTTGATGCCTAGAAACTTGGCGTCATAGATGTGACGCAATAATAAAATTCAGCGGACGGAACGCGAACAAAACGTGAAGCTTCATAGCATCGCAAATTGATTTCGGCATAGTCACAAACACTCTGCTATGCTATGGTATTAAAACGGCAGCTTGGGCTAGTTGGTTCAATATTACGTTAAAGTTACCGAAACTACACGAGCATCATAAGAAATGGGACAAAAACGGGCACCCTGTTTTTGTCCCCTTTCCTATTGTTCCTGTGTAGTTTCGGCACTTGGAACGTAATATTCTATCGTACACTTCATATTATCAGTTAGCTTATCTCTCAGGCTTATCGTACAAACGAGAGTCAAGTAAATCTAAATACTTTTTTCCTTCGATACGACATAGCTTGAAACAGCAAAGCTGCGATCGCCTCGCTAATACATCATACAAACGACTGTCTGTAGACATCTGAGGCATGTTTCATTCGCGTATAACGCTCCTCTCACAATAGGGAGTTTTAGGGAATCGTTTTGCACATCCGATGCGGTACGATAGGGCCTATGGTACGAACTACGCATGGGCTACAACAAAAGACCCGCACATGCTCGGCTCGTTTTGTTTTGTTATTTTAATTTTTTTTTTTTCTGTCTTTGAAGTACGTAAACAAATCTTAGTGGACAGAATGGTGTCCGCTCTTTAGGACGCTGAGACCGTACGGCTGTTGTATTCGTCTCCACCAGTGGGCTATATGGCGCATTGAGAAAACAGGTATAAAACCACCGGAAGTAAGCTGCTCGTCCCGGAAGTGAGCTCAAACAGCATCCGGGGCGTTGGATGTGTTCCCGCCATTTCAAGACAGAGTTATTATAATGTACGCTAGAGGTTCAAGAGGCGCTAGTGTGCTGACGCAAATTGAAGCAGACAGCAACCAGTCCGAAATTGACTTCCGGTAATGCATTTCTATGGGAAAAAGTGAGTGCATTTTCTCTCTGCGCTCGATCATAAGAGCAAATATTCCGAATAATTCATACGTACTAGGTAGCTTGGAACATTTCTCAGTCAGGCCGACGAAATAATTGGTCAGTTACGGTGTTTTTCTTTCAAATTCATCGCATTAAAAACGGTGCTAAAACAGCTTCGTACGTGTATTTATGTGCACTGTCGGACACTGTTAGCGCGAACACGGCGTCGGCGCTTTTCAGCGTGGGGGATATACGTGCCAAACGAACGAAGAACATCTGGAAATTAAGAAAGACGGCAAGAACTACGCAGTAACACCGGATCAGTAACTACACGTGCATATACGATCAAAATTGATTGAAGGCCACGTAATCTATTCCTATTTTAAATAAGTAAGTACCGTTTTATTCTTTCTGCTCTGAGCGAAGCTGCTTGTTCTACGTTCAAAATATCACTCGCACGCTCGAAATCTTTGAGAACAAGTGCCCGATAAAAGCTGCCCGGCAGAGAAAGCAATACGAAGAGACAACTTTTATAACCCACGAACTTTATTCTCTACGTTTTGAATGTTTTTATCCGCTCATGCACGACGGGGTCATTTTTATATAGTGACCGGACTGGCATATTATCAATATATAAGCGTCACCGGATTGCTGGCAAGCCTTGAACACACTCTACATTCCTTTCGATTGTAATTTTGCTTCGAATCGTTGCTTGTTTTTACAGACCTGCTGCGGAACACACGTTTGGGACTGAAATGTAGCGAAGTTAAACATCGGTCACTGATGAAGAAAAATGCGCTAACTAAAGCAATTACACTTTTACAGTGTTAATCAAGGTACATATTATTCGGTACAACCCAAATAACCAAAGTGTTCCGTGTTATTTTCCGGCGAAGAGACAAAATGCACGCGCGCTTTCCCATAGGAATACACAGGAAGACTGGAAAAGTAGACTGGTTGCTGTCTGCTTCAATTTGCGTCACGGAAGTCGCATAGACACTAGCGCCAGTTGAACCTCTAGCGTACATTATAATAACTCTATGTTTCAAGAGGGGCTGCCTGTTGCGCAGCAGCGCATGCAAACCCGAGAAGTCTCCTGGGAACGTCATTCTATATGGACATTCTGAGATTCTAGTTTGAGATTTTCGAGATTTACTTCAACGTCCACCCACCCAAGACACAAGAAGGTATGGACCAAAGCATATACTGAATGCACTAGGAACCCAGCGGACGCCCGACTTCCGGGACAAGCATCGAACTTCCGGACACTTCACTTGCGCCAAACTCGAAGAGCAGCTAAGCGCCATCTAGCCCCCTATAGTAGAAATTAGTGGGCGATTGAAGAAGACTGATACAATACCCCATGTCATCGACAAAACTTTTTAACACGATGACCGATGATTTACGATCATTCTAGAAAAGGGCTTCTGGCCGGAACCGATTTCGGCTTTCGTGCGTGCTGCGTGTGTTTTGATTTCTTTCTGAAGCGATGAACGCGCGCCTGCAAGACAATAGATATCGCACGTTGAACTGGGGATTTGTAAAAGCTGGAACGGAGGATATGCGTTGGCTTTTGAGAGTTTTCCTAGAAAAAATAAAAAGAAGAGAGGATGTTTTCACTCACTCATAACATTGTAGCCGGTGCGGTAGGCCGTCTGGGCCGAGCCGTCCTTATCCATCGGGACGGCCCTGGAACTGAGCCGCTCGGTCCTCGCCGGAGTTTCGAAAGTTTCGAACGCGCTGCTGCAGCCCACGGGAATCGCCGAAGCTTCCGCGACCTCGCCGCTCGGGATCACTGGAGAATGGGGGGGAGAGAGAATGGTCCCTTCAGCACGCAGTCAGGGTGCGTTCAGTGCGCATCCCGTATACGCATAATGAACACCCAGTGCACACTCAGTGGGAACTCGGGGCAGATTCAGCGTGCAGTTTGAATACACTCGGTGGACACCAATGGCACACTCGGGGGATAAAACACACTCAATACGCACTCCGTATACAACCAGTGGAAACCGCTGTGTGAGATGAATATAGATGAGTACAAACAGGACGGCGAATGCTGCGACGGGATCGACCAGATGAAGTCTTATTGTGGCGCGCCCGAGTAGCCTTAGCCGACAGCGTCTACACCGCCCAGACGGCAAAACAAAAAAAAATGTCTTGTTCCCATGGCCCCAGGGTGCGCGATCTCTTCGTTCTCATGCTTAGAGTGTATCTGACCATTACAGACGCTGGCTTGAACACTGCGCCGGAGGTTTCTCCTCCTCAACGCGTTCAAACAACTGTTATGGACGCCCTAAGGGACGAAACTGTGGTCACTGACTAAGCAGTCTATAAGCAACACGCGTAGTGAAAGTGCCACGTTCTACGTGACTTGGAGCACCCCCCCCCCCCCCTCCAAAAAAAAAAAAAAAACTTAGAAAAACAAGCACGTATCTTATAGAGAAGCATGGGAAACCGGGCCCGCGACAGGCTGCCATTAGCCACATATCGAGGAGCCATCTGGTAGAGCCACTTGAAACCTAGGCGAGGAGATGAGTTTGTCTGGTATCTGCGATGCGCGTGGTGTTCACGCTTACACTCGGTACACACTGTATATAAGCTGTACCATCTGTATACACTCAATGAATACTAAGAGAACGTAACAGTCAGTGCGCACTTCTATACATCATGAACACTCAGCGCACATTCTTTACACCGTCAGTGCACACTAAAAATGTGGACTCAAGATTGACAGGGGGCATTGCATTTCCGCCATAACAACCACATTATAAAACAAAAATGAGTAAAAAGATAGCAACAGCGCGTTTTCCTCCCTTCTACTGACGCGCCCCCAAGCGGACACGAGAAGATAGGAGGAACAAGACTTGTAGGTTTAGAAAGAGTTATATACGTAAAAACAGGGGACGGGACAACACATCTTTCAACTTTCAACAGTCAGACGGGAGGAAAGGTTCGCCCTCCCGCTTCATTCTCTACGGGTTTCGTTTTTCAAGCACGTCAGGCCAGTTTTCTTAATAAACGTTGTTGACTTGATCAAGCTTTAGCGGCAGCGAATTCAACCTGTAACTTTGTCTCCCGGTCCAAACATGTAGAACATGTCGGTTGCATCGACGTTTTTACCGCTAATTTTGTCAAACGAGCAAACGAAGCCTTCTAGAAACAGCGAAGTTTCGGAGCAGTGCTAGCAGCGACGTACACTGGGCTAAGATGGCCACCTCTGGATTACGGAACGACGTGACGACGTTGATGACGTTATGGAAATCGCGGAAACGGCGTCCAAGACAAGCAGGTTTTTCTGAAGGACGCCTGCGTGTCTTCTGTCTTGCGTTCGGTTCTGTTTCCTGGCGCAGAGTGTCAACCGACAATCAACGGATTGTCGCTTTTTGTCGACAATCAATGAATTGTGCTCACAAAATATTACTACACGCGCTATTTCAAAATTACATCCACCAAGCAGGAACAACTAAGACACACAAACAGATTTCACATTCCGAGAATATATACCAACTACGGTAAAAGGTTCAGGAAGTATGATGTACCAACTTATTTTAATAATTTCCCTGCTAGTTCACTTAATCTACCATCCTTAGTACAAGTGTAAAAAGAAATGCGTAAATGGAGTAGCACGCCAAATGATCAATAGATAGTTCTCAGACTCGTGCCTTTTGATGTCCCTGAGGTTTTATGAGTACCAGAGTGGTGTTACTGTCCTTTTTCACGCCTGAAGTTACCTTTATTGCTATTCCCTTCACGCCTGTTTTGTATTCACATGCTTTTAAGCGCGAGGGTTGTCTGTTCTTTGTTCCTTGTGGTCTTGCGAAATCTATGTGAATTATTATTGTGTAAAAATATATAATTCAGTTTAATGTTTACTGGCCTAACTTTTATGGTTGTGTACTAGTTTATGCTTGTTTCCATTCTACTTTATTTGGAGTCCTACATAACGAGGACCTTTATCAGTAGAACCGGTTTATGTTTGTGTAAGGTCAGTACCTCAGATATTTTTTTTAAATTTATGCTGGACTGTGTACTGACACACAAGCACGCAAGTGCCTTTTTGAAACTTGAAACTTTTATACGCGCACAGCAGATCTTCGTGACTGTACGCCGTAGTCGAAACCTCCAGCTGCTACGGTGAAGACCTCGCGTCGGGCACGAAACCGTTCGCCATGTTTGTAAGCGTAGCTGGGCTGCTTACTATTGGCTAGGAGCAAGAGCTGAAGCTCGTTTCTCATTGGTTGTTGATTCGTGTGTTTGCGTGCGGTTGCGTGTCTGTGTACACATCACGCACAGTTGTCGTTGAAGTCGCAGCGGTTGCATTCGTTCGTAGGCATAGTGGTCGCTCCGAACGCAGCTGTGTGAACGGGCCTTGAGAATCCCAGTGAAAACCTTGAAGCTCTTAATCTTATGAAATTAGAGAATGAAAATAAGGTAAACAATAAAAAATATATGAATTTAAAAGAAAACCATGAAACATTACAAGAAAGCCATGAAAAATTAACAGAAAACTATGAAAAAACGAAAAGTTGTACGCAATATGTCGATAAATTTGAGCTAGTCTCTGAAAAAATACTCTTTTTAACACTTGGGGAGGGGGTTTTGGTGACGTTGGAAAAAGATAAGGTTTCAACAACGTCGTTTATAACATATTAAACTTGTATTCAAATAAAAGACACAATGAACGAATTCGTATGATAAGTGGGGAATTAGGTTCTTGGTAACAGAAGATATATTAGGACAATCCAGCAACCTTATTTAGTTGTCGTTTACAAGGCTCCTTGTTAATAATGCTAAAAAATTAAGATAAAGAGTGAGAACATCACACTGAATAATTGTTATCATAGAAAAAAAATCTATCTTTTTAGGAAATAAGGTTCATATGCCAAAGTACCAATTCCATCTTCTAAGAGAACTTATTTATCATCCTGAAAGGTTAGGGCATTCTTCATTACTTTCTCGGTTTATATATCATGATTTTAATTCGAAAGCATGAACTTTCCCATGGAGCGAAGCAGGCGGTGTCTGTAGCAGCGAGAAACGGGACCTAAATTCCCATTTTCCCATTGGCTCAGCGAAACGGCACCTAAAGACCCATTGGCTGTGACGCGTCATATCAGATGCTTTGTCACAGAAGTCGGCGAGGCTACTCGTGGTCGAAGCGGACGCGCCGCAGAAATAAAACACAAAGAAAAGCACAGCAACGCAGATGCATTGTCACGGAGGCCGCGGAGCCGGCGGGGTTCACCGCGCATGCGCAGCGGGAGAGCGTGATGTCACCGCCAGAGGCCATGTGATAAAGGAAGACGTGGCGTGCTGCTTGTGGAAATGCGCTGCGTGTAGGGAATGCGCCTCCTGTAATTTTTCGAACTTATCATATTTTGGTTTATGACTACATTTTTTATCTTCTAATACTTCGTTGTAATTGTGAAGGTGTAAAACCTTTTTCATTACATATTTTAACACCTTTGGCCTTCTTTGATATTACTGTACCATGAACTTTATATTATCCAGTTTGGTCTAAGCGCCACATATTCAATTAGGATATTTCCATTCAACTCATCTTTTAAACTTGACAATCACTCTATTATTATCCTCGGAGAATTGTTCATGATCTTATGGATAATCAGAGGTATTAAAATAATCCTTCATTTCTTTCATATTTTTAGGTATCCAGTTTAAATGTAATATATAAAAATATATCTGTCTTTATGAAGATTCTTTATACCCTCACCGTATCTCTTTTTCACAACATTATAGTGAAAGTCGTATGTTAAGGTTTTTGACAAATCTAGAACTGACATTCAAATATACATTGGCTTATCAGCAACTATTTTTGTTTTGTGAAAATTAATAGAAACCAAAGCCTCACTGAAAATTCTTCTGGACTTTAAGTTTATTCTTCTTTACAAGTTTTTGAATTTTTCAGAGCGCAGCTCTTAGGCGCCCGTTTCCGGCTTCAGCGGCGTCGCCTTCGCCGTCGCCGTTGGCCTAACCGCGAACACCCCCCCCCCCCCCCCCTCCCCCCTCGGGAAGACCTCGAGTTCATTCGGGAGGAGCTCGGGAGGACCCCGGGTTCCTTCGGGAGTACCTCGGGAGGACCTCGGGTACCTTTGGTGACCTTGGGGAGGGGGGGGGGGGGGGGTAACGTGATTCCCCCGCCCCGAGGCCACGAGACCCCCCCCCCCCCCCCCCCCCCATCAGTACCCTTCCCTACTCCTCCTCAAGAGCTGCGCTCTAATTCCGCCTTACAGGGACTTGCATACGGCTTTCACTTTTTTTTTTTTTTTTGATCTGAACATAATTCTATAGGCTTTCTGTTTCGGACATTCTCCATTGTTTTTCGTACACGGCATTGTTCATTAACTTAACGAAATATTTCTCAAAGGCAATTTTAGTTTGAGTTTGAAGTTTTGTGTTAAGGTCTATGTAATCCTTGATAACAAAAAAGTTTTTCTTTGTATCTAAGAAATCGGTGTATTTTGGTTAATTTTATTCTAACTTTAATTAATTTCTTTAAGGCCACGTTATGAACAACGTATTTCGTTTTGTCGTGTAAGGTTAAGAGAAGTTTTCCTGTTAATTTAATTGGGCTCAACGGGAAATCATTTGCGTTTAACGTGTAGTTCTTCGAGATATTTAAGATCGACTCCGTGGATTTAACCGCATTCCTTTGATAAGGACTCGTGTGGATCTATAAACTCGAGATCATCATATGGGAACGGTTGAGATAAAGCCCATCCATATAGGTTTTTACATCTAAGTACATTCGGTAGTTTGATGGTTTGGTTGGATCAT